CTACTTAATCTAAACTATGATATTATTGTATGTATTTTTTTCTTTCTAAGATCGTTCTAGATTATTATATGTTTCTGTTTTTAAAGGGGTGTTCCGTAAAAATGTTTAATAAATAAATCAATAAATAAATGTTAACATGTTATAAAATACTAAAGTAACAGACATTTCAAACTAAATGAAATTATGGATTTTCGGCAAGTTCCATGATACGAACGAAAAGCCTCGCGTTTCTCAAATAATTATCAGAATAGAAAGGTAAAAGAAATGAGATAGTGTTGTACGAGTGCTGCGGTTTGGTACTTAAAAATTAATGAGAGAAAGAATAGAGTGAGAATCAATGGAATCAGAGATGGGCTTTTGAAGGAATGAAATGTTGAGAGGATGTCACGACGATCTACAACAGATGCTAAATTAAGCTTATGAAGAACTAGACCATGGCCGTGAGCTGGGGAGCAAGGTTTACATTTAATTTAATACTAGCAAAAAATAACAATGTTCATTGAACACGTTCCAATATGTATATACTTATCAGCAGCAGTCTGAGGGTTCCGTATAGGTAAATAACTGACTCATATTCTAATACGAACACTTCGTATATTGTTCTGACAGGTGCACAGTATAATATTTTATAGTGATTTGAGAGTAGAAAGCGTTTCTTTTAATGAAACCTAGTAACTTAGGGGCCCAACACCCAAGATATGGTATCTAGGTATATGTATTTTGGAACTAAGGTATGAGACAAATATGAAATGTGAACCACAGGTATACATTTGTCCAGCAGATTGAGGAGTATCATAATATTATTGACCGAATAATAATATTGAGGATTGCCATCTGGTGAAGACATTTTTTGCCACTTCAATATATTTAGTAGTCGTCGAACGATTTGGTTCTAGAATAAAGTTTCATTCAATTCATATTTAAGCATTTAACACATGACTTAACAACGGTGACTTAATCAATGACGAGATATTGTGGTATGCTCTGATACCTACTGCACAGTAGTACGATTTTTTTAAATTTAAGATATTTATTATTTAGATTTATTTAAATTTGATTTATAGATATGGCTTGTGGCCTGTGCGTATTAAGAATTGACACTTTAATACAAGGTTATTTGGCTTATTCTACTCGTATAAACATTACTTTATTCAATAAATGATCAAAATAATCAAAATCATTAATCGTCAATTTATTATACATTTTTATCACTAAAAACTTTAAAACTATAATGGTAATACTATAATGGTTGATCTCTTCTCAGAATCTTTATTTAAATTCTGGTTTATCATTGCATCCTGCAAATGTATAGTAATAATATACCAGTATTCTACGTCTTAGTTAGCTATGCAGGACGAATGTATAATACTTTAATATTACCCTGTCTCTGTATCCTGTTCAGCTTTTTGGGTATTTGAATTAATATTCTAGATATATTATTTGAAAATCGAAGTTATTGAGTTCGTATTCCGAATAGTATTTTGAATATTTAATCAAAATACGGAAAAAATGTATTCTTTACAAGTCTATTATCATTTATAAGCTCGGCACGTCTGAATGAAATTGAAAAAAATGACAAAAATATAAATTAAGTGTATCAAAAATAGGATAAAAACAATATTACATGGAAATAAAAATATTAGTATTTTAGTCTAACAAAATGTTGTCATCATATTCACTGAATTGAGGGTTAAAGTATATACCAACTGCTATTACACAAAAATAAGTATTAGATAGGTATATATATTATAAGGGAATTGAAACATAAAACACAAGATGAATATAGTCAAATAAAGTTTTGCACTTTAGTAAACCTATAATTTCGTCTGATAATTATTGATTTTCCTCCAAATATATAGTGGTATAAGACAAATGTAAAAATATATTTTATATTTTATGACACAAATTTTTACTTAGAAACTGCTTAGTTTACACTCTTACATAAAAAAATTCTTAAGAATCTGCATAAATTTGGCACAAAAAATTAAAACTACGCAAAAAGTAAATTGTATTACAATATTTTTTTTATCAATACATGTAATATTGTTAATCTGATATTAACAGGGTGGAGGGTTGAAATGAGTGGGGACTCGGCCCCCAAACTATCCCATTAGCCTTCCCAAAAACCGATAGTTTTTTTTAGTTATGTGTGATAAAAGACCCCCTTTCACCGCTCACATTGATGTTAAAATGTTAGCCCCCCCCCCCCCCAAACAAAAAAATCGAATCTTACGGTATTTTCAGTAATCACCGAGGAACGGTATTTTCGGTAATTATCGAAAATACCGGTAGTAAACAAATACCGGATAAAAGTATCAAAATTTGAAATACCGCCAGCCCTAGCTCATAATGCATACAATAATAATATAATACATCTAGCATAAAATATGCTCAAGTACCTACCTATTCTATATAGTATATTACTTAATTTTTCATAAGGTTTTTTTCATACCGATATGTATTGACTGCATGTATTATACTTTGTTTTAAAGTTTATTATATCCATTCTATAACCATGTAAATGACATAATCGGTCTTATTGGATGCTGCACATTAATGGTATGGAAAATATTTATAACTTTTTCTGTTTAAAATACAAATTTAAAAGCATCAAAAACTGATTAAGTAGTAAATTCTTCAATTCTTGCTAACAATATATTATTACCATATAAATTAATAATTACTAATTAGTATAATAGTATAGGTATTCTTTGGACATTTTATTCAAGTTTGTCGCGTAAACGATTTATAACATAATATTATATTACTATTATACCTACACACACACGGTAATAATGTAATACGTTATTATATTATGGCTATAGTAATACGCTACGGCCCACCGCGTGAAGTATAATAATACTATAAGGGAGCTGCTGTGAGACCCTTTCAGAAAAACCTAGAAACCCGTCTATACTTGCGTATACAATATTATTATGCTGGTAAACGAGTTTCCCGCAATTATAGTTCGATTATTAAGTTACCACTGGCTGCAGAGTAAGTATGTAGGTATACACTATATACATACATATTATTATATCATACTCCTTTTGGACCCGCCTGTAAAGAGTTTGTGGACGTCCCACACATAGAACAACGAACAATAATATAGGTATAAATTGAAAGTACAGTATACATATTATTAGGCACGACAGCGAACTATATCAGCACTTAATTTTGGTTGATTCATATTATACTAAACAATATTATACGAAACATATAATATTACCTCTTGTATATATATATATATACCTATATGTGGTATGATATGTATGAATCTTGGTAAAAATTACCGAAGAAAAATATGTCCAGAAAAAAATGACCAAGTTCTAAAGTGATCAAAGAAAAATGTAAATCGTTCATTTTAAAATATGTAATAAAGTAGCAAAACCATAATACATAATATTGTAGTAAAATAAAAGTCAATATAAATAAAATATATGGTACCTACGTGTCTCGCGTGAATCCGCCCTCCTAATATTTTCAGATCAACTCCGGACCAACAACACCAATATTTTGTAACTAACTTTTTAGCATTTTTAACTCCGTGTCTTGGCCAAAAAAATCGATTAGGGACTAACTAACGTATCCTACTAACTTCAGGAATTTATATTGCGAATCAGTGTTTGATCTATCCTGGAAATTCAATTAATTGCGTTTCGTACAACATCAACGGTTATGGTTGTTTAAACAGTATTGGACCCATTCAAACATAATTTGTTTTGGTTTTTGTTTGTGTGTTTGACTAATTAATATTAGTTTCAGTCATAAGGTAATGATGTTATATACCAAACCCAAATATAGTTTATATATATTATTAAAATATAGAGCTAGAGATTTAAGGGCGTACTGTTAAGTCTGAAATAATATAATTTTAGCAAACACATGTTATTAAAATATAGTCCAACCTATTGACTATTGGACAGACTCGTCTTTCGGGGTCATGATTTTAAACTTTTATTACCCTTTGAAAATGTATATTAGATATAAGAGTAACGACTAACGAGTATTTATTTGGATATTATTTGACTCAGGGTCACAAATTAAAATTTATAATACTACCTCGGTAGTATCCTTATTGATAGCCGAAATAACTCATATAGGTATTTAAAAAAAAAATTTTTTTCTGAAACGAATCAATTGTCCTATATATTAAAATTAATTTTTACTAAATAATAGCCTATTTTGATATGGTCATTATTGCCGACTACCATGCGTATATAAACTTTATATATATATATTATATATTACCTACTTATAATAATATACAACGAATTTGCGACGTTACGTAACGCGTGCGTAGTATAATAAAATATAATATATTATATACATAGTATATAATAGTATAGTATTATAGTCACAAATTCGCAATAATAACGTGATGTGCCCGCGAGCGATAGATATATACGCGACGGGACGCGCATCATTAGCCCCCAGACGGTCACTATGGATACGCCCGGGAAAGCCATAAGCTCGCGCGCGCCGTTGGCGAAAAGTTCGTATCGTGAAATGCGATGCGTATGTGTGTACGTGTGCGCGCGTAACGCATGTTCACGCTCGCGCGCACGCGGCGGCGTCGTCGGCGGGCGGGATGGAGGGACGCTGGTTGAAAAGTTTCCGCGCGCGCCACAAGTGTTCAGATATAGGACCGTCGCAACAGTTCGCGTGCCGCCAGCAGCGCATGTGTCGTCAGACGCCGCCGCTGTCGCTTATCGAAGGTCCTCTTCGCGGCACCGCGCAATACGCAGACCGCGTAGACGCGCTCGGCGTTATCTTTGTCGTCGTCGTGCTTGAGTACTTGACCGTTATTTTTCCATCTTTACGAAAATTGTTGTTTATAAATTGTAATAATATTATACATATTACATTATATACCTAGTGCAAGCGAGCCCGAAATGTTCGCAAAAGTGCAGTGAAACGATTTCGTCGCGTCCTCAATTATTATTATAACTTCTACATCGCGTTGACAATATAATATTATAAAATCACGCACGCACGCGATGTCGTCTACCGACCGGGTGTTCGAACGGCGGATCGTGTCCAAGCGAAGAACGTCCGCCAACCTGGAGGACGAGCCGGAGAAGCAGTGTCCGAACGGTTGGGCCAGCGTCGTGGCGGCCGCGGCGGCAGCCGCGTCGTCTTCGTCGTCGACGTTACGGCAAAAAGCGGCAGCCTGCAAGACCTCGCAGAGGACGACGTTTCAACCACATCCCGATTCCATCTGCGATTGGTTCTTCAAAGTAAGTAAATTAACGCATGATTTATAGACTTTCGGTAAAGCACGTATATTATGGTATAAGGTCTTCGATGGTATTAATGTACCCACTCGCAGTCATAATAGCACAATATTATATTATATAGATACATAGAATTTAATTAAGTACGTAGTTGCAACATTTTATTATAATATATATTATTTTGTTTGGGTTAAAATAATCAGCAACGGTTTGAACTGGGAGAGTATGGAGAGAAGCAGGCTGAAGGCTGCAAACTGCTGCAGGTCAACCCGAAAAAGGGTTTAAAATTTAAAATTATTTTAAAAACATTAAACAGTTAGTGCTGAGTATTATTATTTATACTATTTAGTTTTGCTGCTCCATATTTAAGTGCCCTTTGAACAAAACCCTTTGAACTTTTAAATACTCCAAAATACCACACTAAACAATGTTATTAACTATTAGGTCTGAAATCTGAATGTCCGATAATCAACATTTTTTTTTGCTTTCTAAAAAGTGTCATCGTGTAAATACTAATTTCTACATAAAATGCGTTATATTTGTTATGCAGATTTTTTATTAGACATTTTTGAAACTTTTTTGAAGTAGGTATATTTATCTTAAATTAAAGTTTTGTTTTTAGACAATTTATTTTTATAATTATTAATTAAAACAACTAAGTTAATAATCTAAAAGGTTCCTTAATAAATTGACATGTTATATTCGGAACAGACCAGGGGAATCTAATGGTATTACAATGATTTATCATTTTTATAGGTTATAATACTTTTACGGGTAGTAAAAAAGTTCTAAAACTTTCATGCCCCTTCTCTATATAGACCGAAAATTGAGCACAGATGGCACTTTAAAGATGGCACTTTAATATTTTTATTTTCCCAATAGTTTTTTAGAAAACTGCATTAAAACGACAAGTTAAAGGTGAAGCAAATACTCGTAAGTTTTTAATCAAAACTTGGTGACACTATTTGAGATAAGTCAACCTCAGAATCGTTGTTCATATGTAATTATTCATCATTGTTTTCAAATTTAAAAATAAGTGCCTACACCAGTACTTTTGTTTAACATATTATCTTTAATTGCTACAGTGTATTTAATTAATTTAAATAATTTAATATGTATAAGACATTATTAATTACATAGTATTACTTTTAACGTAGGTATAATGTATACATTTTCATTATTTTTTAAATCAACAATAGTCGGATTGGTGAGGGGAGCCAGTGGTGCAAATATAAAAAAATGTTTAGGTGGGGCTCAAGCCCGAAGATAATTTTTTTTAAATTATAATATTTATAATATTATTATTTTTTGAGGGGTTTTGAGTGATTTTGGATGGGTAAGCCCCCTCCTCTTGGCACGACTAAGGGATCACCCATGAAAATACTTTAAACTCTGTTTGAAATATGTTCTATCAAATACCCATCTCTGTTATTATTTTTCAATTTAGACGATGTATACATAATATTATAATGTATAGACAGCAATACATATCATTATATTATATAGAATCATATTAAACACACGACTCGAGTTATTTCTATTATAATACTGCCATTTGTTATTTTACTATTAAGGAGTGTAAATAAATATCGGAGCACTGGCTCAGCTGCAATATTGCAGTAGTAGGTACTGTGGTAATTTCTTTGTTACCTGAATACATTTCTTCCTGGATATTACGGACACAATCTTTGTATTCCGCCATGTGCCGGATATAATATTATGTCCACTGGATAACTCACAATAATTCCCAACTTATTTTTCAAATATCCCCTATATAATCTAGAGTCTAGATGACGGTTGAAGATCGTACCTTTTTTTCAGTCCACGGGTGTGATGGTAATCCCTCTGAAGTACACTCCATTGAATAATATGTTAAGAAAAGCTTCGTATTAAATTCATATCATTTACATGCCATATATACATAATATACCTACATATAATAGTGTATTATATTTTTTTGATCATCAGATAACCCAGCAGAACAACTTAAAAGTTTATTTTTATTTGACCTCAATATTATTAATTTTAATAATATTATAGATATTACTTGATATTTTAGATGGTAATAATTATCTAAACAATTTGTTTGCACGTTACATGCACATCGTTTTCTAACATGACAATTTTAACGTAGAACCCTATGTGTACGTCAATAACATGGCATAAAATAAGCTTGACATGGAAAAATAAAATCAAAAATTGAGTTTATTACCTATTGGATTGTTATTTTTATAACACTTGTGATATTAAACTATTATTTTATACGGAACTTTTTTTTTTTTTTTTGATTCTTTGCTAATAATATCATCACACAAAGTGCCGCCGCCCGCAGGTGTTATGTTTCCCATTTTGTTATTTTATAATTTATAACTGCAAAGTAGATGATCAACTATACAAGTCTATAATACCCTTTTGTGACCTGCCTAATTGACATGTTTTTAAATTTATGTATCCATAATGAGTTAAATATTACGAAAACTATACATTTCTTAATAACAATAAATTAACGAGGTACAATGAACTATTAACTGAATATTCAATTAACTAAAAACCTTCTCTATAGAGTATATATTATGATTATAATTATATCATATTAAAGGACTAAAGTATTGATACTTTTTTATTATTTTAATGAGATTTTAACAGAAATTATTGTTTATCAACTATTATTTGGAGAAAGTCAAAATACAAGAATAAAAAAATAATAAATAATAATACATTCTTACGATATGGAATAATAACCGAATATTGCTGTAGATACACGAAATATTCGTTTTTATCATCGCAGAAATATCGATTGTTATTTGTTCAACAAATAATAGCTAGAGAGAAGTTATTCAAAATGTTTAATACTATAGACGTTTCAATTTCATTCATTGATACATGCATACAATATAATTTTGTCCGTAACAATGTAACATCTTTATCATTGACTGAAAACACACTCTGTAGGTATATACATACATCTGAATATATGTATAAACTGTAAAGGAACTTTGTTTTAGACATGTTAATCAGTTTTAGATGTTAAATAATTTTGACGTTGAATCAACGATGTTATAACTTATAACTTATAATAACTTGAAAATGAACCATTCAATTTATCTTAAACGATAAGGTTATAAATTATCTTAAAATAACGAAAAATAATAAGAACCTTTATATATTAAACTGTGGAGGATAGTATCCATTATCTAATATCATACAATATTGCAGATCTTCAGCTCCTTTAAAAATGTTTTTTGCATAACTATACGAGTATACGACAACCTATCTTATATAACTTTGTTTTAACATGCAATTAGCCTAACAAGCTATGACACAAGACCATGCTTTTTCATAAGGTGTATAGACGTATATACAATACATAGTTGTATATTAATATATTATAAAATATATACATGTATACGAAACATTGCAGTGAAATCATTATTATCAATTTTACATATTATATTATAAGTCTGTAAGAAGTACAATAGGACATAGGTATAAGTTAAATTCCTGTAATAACTATATGGATCTCCTGCTCCCAATTACACTTGGTCGGATTCACACAACCCACTCTTCAAACCTTCCAGCTTTCGACAGACTTCATTTTTGTAGAATAACAAGTGTGTAATATAATAATTAATAATGCATTATTATTATTTGTTAATTTTTATTAGTATATATTTCTTATTATACAATAAACCATCTTATATAGTTATAATTTATAACTTTAACCCTATCGGCACATGATAATTATTGCGATGTAAACACCAAGTTGTATTCTACATTAAACATTTTTACATAGCCAGTATAGGTACCTATTTGTATAGGTTAACTATGCCTTTCTATACTTTCCCAGAACTATAGAGCCGTGTTCTTCTCTTTATAAAATAACATAATTTTGATTAGTTTATATTTTAGTATTAACTGCTGCAATATTTGGTTTTTAGGTGATGGTACTCGGCGATTCCGGAGTTGGGAAGACTTGCCTGTTGGTCCGTTTCAGGGACGATATGTTCTTGGGTGGCAATTATATTTCTACCGTCGGTGTAGATTTCAGGGTGAGAACGACGGTCGGCTTCGGATCTTGTTAAATCATTGATCGTCTCGCATACAAATGCATGGAAAGACAATAAATGCTATTGTTTTACCGACGAGCATTATGAATGATATTACGATTGTCGATTACTTAAATTATCATAATAACAATTTGTACGTGACCTAAAAAATTTAATCAACCCGTATATAATAACATTAAATTATAATACAACATGCACGTGTGATAAGATAATGTAGACGCCGAGCCGCACCGCATAGGTAGACGGTATTATTTAGACAGTTGCTGTGAACATGTGGTAACTCATTTGTAGTTGCAGGTACCCTATATAAAATTGACGTATTTTATATTAATATTATTATTTTCGAAACTATGAATAACCAGGAGAAGCACCTGTACCTTGATCATTTATCGCGATTTTAAGATCATTATACTGTACACGAGGCAAAGTCAAATAATAACAGTTGGATAACGTAGCTGATGTGTTTAAATATTTTTAATGACTAATGAAATTACTTTTTTTTTCCTTATATACATTAAATGTATTTTAGTTTGTGAACATGTGGCTTGTACTTTTACTTTAAAACACAATCAACAATTATCTGTTTCAGAATAAAATTATATCTGTCGACGACTCCAAAGTTAAGCTACAGATTTGGGACACTGCGGGTCAAGAACGATTTAGAAGCGTAACACACGCATATTATAGAGATGCCCATGGTAAGTAATCATATTGATATAAGTTAAATCAATAATCATCAGTGGCGTATTTAGGAATTTTGCTGGGGGGAGGGGATGAAATATATAATAATACCCCCAAGCCCGGATTAAAGGGGACAGGGGGGCCAAGGCCCATGGGCCTCGATAGTTAGAATTTATTTAGGGGCCTCTGATTTTTCCATTACTTTTTTCATTATAGGCTATATAATACTGCATAAATCACCTAAAAAAAATAGAAATTGTTTTTTTAAAAACACACTTTTCTAAAAAAAAACAAAAAAATAATGAAAAATTTAAAAGTGTGTGGCGCTCTTACACTTTTTTACACGTTACCCTCTTACACGTTTTTTTAGAAAAGTGTGTTTTTAAAAAAAAAAATTTTTATTTTTTATTTTCTACTTTTTAGTTAAAAATTTTTTTTACGGATTATTGTATTGTCATCAAAAACCAAGGTCTATACCAATTTTCAGAATTTTTCATCTTCAAAAAGTGCCTCAAATCGAGCGCGCAAGATTTGATCACAGACGGACGTGAAACCGAACTTAAGAAAAGTGTATAATAAAAAAATCGATGATTATTTAGATAGGAAAAAGCTTGTAAATTATAATTTATAAATAAAGTGATACATTATTCATTATTTAATGCTATATACCTAATATCTATATATTATATTTATTATAACAGGTACCTAATATAAATAATATACAACGTGTTCCAGGGTCAAGTGACCGGCCAACGTCATATGAAAGTGTACTAAAAATTATGAAGTTTTTACACTAAAAATGATGAAACCCTTCAAAGATTGAGTCTAACTTTTTTATTTTTTTAATTATGGCCAATTAACTTTTCTTATCAAAACCATTACGTATCAAGCATTATTTGTTTATGTATCTTCAAACCTTTTCAACATTTTGAAGTCATTATATTTTTATTTTAAAGCTATTTAATTGTCCTATCAACTAACATAAACAAAATAAATATATACAAAAAAAAACCCATAGGTACTAAGTAATACATTATTTGGAATAATACACAATTTCCTTTAAAAAAATGCTAATTTTTGCCAACTTTTCTACTTTTTAATTTAATAAAAATAATTAGCACATTTCTAGTTCAATTGCGTATGTCGGTTGATAGGGCAATTAAATAGCTTTAAAATAAAAAAAAAATACATCAAAACTTTTAAAGATACATAAACAAATGCATGATAAGTATGGTTTTGATAAAAAAAAAAGTCAATTGCCCATAACTTAAAAAGTACAAAGTTAGATTCACATTATCTTTAAGAGGTATTTCTTCATCATTTATTGGTATACTTTCATATAGGCCTCATTTAAAACTTTGGCCCCTGGGCCTCAAAATGTCTTAATTCGGGCTTTAATACGTACATTATAAACATTTTTAAAATCCCCTAACTTGTTACACCTATTGAGGTTGGTGTGCATCAAGGCGAAATAAGAATTAACACAAATTGTATAGTAGGTACCTAATAGCATATTTTATTATAAATCCATACTAGCGCTATCGCCAATCCCGTGTTTAATACGATAAACAAAAAAAATAGTTATAATACAAAATCCAGTTTTATATTGTTTTGGATGATCATTTCATCGATAACCTCATCTGGCATGATTATTGTATTGACCGGTGACATGCCAATAAAGCCAACACATTAAGTCGGTATAATAATTTATTACTAGATAATTTATAATTATTATTCAATATTAGATAGGAAAATTGATAAAATATTTATTTCTGTCATACTATTTATTAGGTAAGACTTAATCCTCTTCAAACTTGTAAAACATCGTTCAGGTGTAGCGGTTGATACGGACAAAATACAAAATATTTTCAAAAGTTCATGAATATTTGGATAAAACTCTTTATCACAAACATCTAAAGAATGTAACCCAGAGGTGAATACAATTTTTTCAGTCACTAAAAAAAACCTACGTCCCCCTATGGTAAGTATACGGTCTTCGTGGTAATTTTGTTTTATTTACCAACTGTTAATCAAAAAAAATACAGTACACCATACTACCATAGAGGTATATGTTTTTGTTGTCCGATAGTCGCATATATGCCGCGAACGATTAGTGGCGATTAGTAGGTATATCAGAGCAGTACAATTACCACGGCTAGAGCCTAGAACATTTAGAAAACAGACATACTTAAAAGTAATATCATATTAAGAAATACAGACAATTATAAAACTTAACTTTACAAAAAAAAAATCAAGACCTATCCCCCCTCCCCCGTAAATGCGCCACTGATAATCATACATAAATTAAAAATGGTTATAATAAATTTCACACGTTAAGAGCACGTCGTACCCTATGTGTTGTCTCCGTTTTACTAACCCATAACATACCACAATTTACGTTCAGTAATTACAATTTCGTGTTGTTAAGTTGAATATTAGAGTGACCTATTATCAGCCATAAAATATGTAAGAACATTATTTGTGTTAACTTGTTGGTTACTTACGATATGATATAATTTCAAGCAAGTTATTAGTTACCTAAGTAAAATATTAAAATTAAAAATGCTCATAACTCGCTTGAAAATGTAAATATTATAAAAACCAATGAGAGACCACAGATGATGTTCGTAACTCTAAGTTTGATAATAGGGTAGTTTACTCAAATATTAAAACTAAAAACACAAAATTAGAATTGATTAAATATTCCGTGTTATACAATTGTAAGACAGAGACAACATAATATGTGGGTGGGGGCGCAATATTAAATAAGGTTTAATTCATTGGATAATGATCGTATAGGATTGTAGGAAATGTATTATACAATAACAATTATTTATTTAACTGGTATTTACAACATGTATAGTGTATACATATTATGTAAAACCGTTTTAAATTTAAAATTGATATAGGTAATATACATATCAATAAAAATTAAAAATTGGGTGACAAGCGGAGTAGTAATATAGTTAAATATACTCCCATGTCATATCGGTTAAAAATAAAAATAAATTATAGGTTGACGTTAAAAATTGTACACATACCTTAGGTACTAGCTAAAAAATGGTAAATAATTCTTTTAAAAATGGGTAGATAATAGGGATACTTGAAAAATAACTGGAATAAGTTCTAGTCAACAATTCTAAGATGCATATTTTGTTTACTAATATTACTTTATATTAGTAAAATATAATTATTATTTATTGGAAACAAATATAGGCGTATACTTACGAAATTTGTATTTTGAAAATAGGCATAGGTACATAATAATAATTGATTATGATCAAAATACAATATCATAAGGGTTTTTAATCAATTGAATATAAGTGATATAAAATATTGATATATTTATTTAGTATACCACACAATAACAATATAATATAACATATTGATCTGGCAAAAAAAACACACATCCATAATATTATGACTTAGGTATTCTGAAATCTGAGTTATACTGTGTAAACTGTGTAACTGAACATAATGTAATACCTATACCTTCTACATTTCACAGCGTTCTTAAATTTCAAATATAAAATGTTTAAAAAAGATTTCGAATTAGGTTTTTTATATGATGAGGATTAATATTTTAAATTCTAATTTAAGTAGGTACCTATATACTTGTATTTATTTATTATTTAATTTATCAATTATTATTAAATGTATGGTTATTTACTTCTGAAATATAAAATAATCAACTGTCAATATGAATTCTTAAATCTAATTTGTTCAACATAGTATGAACCTATTTTCAAAAGTACGAATGTGTTTACCACATATTTTCTTAAATCTTTCCGCATTAAAATAGGTACCTATTCTAAACTAAGATAATATTTAATAACATTTCTCATTAATTATTGCTTTATTTTAATTTAAGAAGCATACTGCTTGCATATATTGTATAATGTGTACGGTAAATAATTTATTATCTAATTTACGTTTGTATTACAGCACTTTTACTTTTGTACGATGTAACTAACAAAGTAAGTTTTGACAACATACGAGCTTGGTTGAGTGAAATTCGAGATTATGCTAATGATCAAGTAGTCATAATGTTAATAGGTATATATATCCAAACTTAATTATAATCCTTTTTTTACTTATTGATTTCAGATGTGCATTGTACTTAAGTTTAATCTAATGACTATTTATATTTAGGAAATAAAGCTGATTGCAGTCTAAACGATAGAATGGTGAAAAGAGAAGACGGCGAACAATTGGCCAAAGAATATTCAGTCACTTTTATGGAGACTTCTGCTAAATCTGGTTTTAATGTCGAAATCGCTTTTATGGCTGTTGCAAGGTATCTATAAGACTATAACATAATTATTAATTATTATATATACATATACAATCTGCCTATGAGTGTAAAAATACTAAAAATGTATATGTAACAAAGTGGAGCTAGAGAATATATATGAATAATTATAATTATGATAATTTATCATATACCCAGATACCTTTTTTATATTTTAATATGTATCTTACTTTTACAATTTTAGGGAGTTATTATTCAAAAAAACAGGGGTTGAAAAAAAAGGATCTTTTAATGTACAAGATTATGTGAAAGAACAAACCAAATCCAATTGTCCAGCATGCTCTACAGCATAATACATTTTATGGTAAAGTATAAAGGTCAGCATTACTCAATGTAATCAATAAAACAGTTCCAAAATAAAAAATATGAAAGTAGAGAGTCAAAATGGAACAATTTTAATTAAATTACCTATGTATTTATGTTATAATATAATTTTAAGCTTGAGCATTCTTTGTTAAGAATGGTAGATATATAATATACATAATATATATATATATAATTTGAATGTATATTACAAATTTTATAATTACAATTAAAATACTGAAATGCTTGTTTTATTGTTGAACATGCAATATATTTATTAGAAACCAATGAAACCATACTTTTTGTTTTTCTGTGTTGGCGTTTGTTTATTGTATCAAATTTATTCTGTTCAAATTTGCCGAACTCTTGACATTATGATATAACGTCCACAACAAACTATAATTGCTGTTCATAATGACTTAAAATAGTTTGAGTCCAAACTAAAACTATTAATTTGGGGAAATTACGAATATTGCAAATTTTGTAAAATATATACGGTTGCTAGTCCCTATATAATATGTCCTAATCCTTAATACCTAGACAATAAATATTGTATATAATACATCAACGTAACACAGCCATATTATAATGTTAGTAAAACGTGAAGTCAACACAGGGAATAGATAAGTATGATTTCCACCAATTGGTAATTAGTGCTGATATTAGCTGTTATTTGCTGATATTGATATAAGTATTAACATAGGAAGGTACTGAAATTTTAATAATGTTTGCCTACCCAAAATGTAGATACGTGTTATATTATTTTCTTAATGAAAAATAACTGTGTTTATAACTATAATTAACTACAAACTAAGGCCATGCTGATTATGTGACATGAGAACGTTTAACAGACTGATTCATTATTAATCTGTATTCAAATGTGAAAATAAAAATACCAATATAATAATTTAAAAAATAATCTGTAGTCTAGCTTGAAACTATTTAAATCGCTTATTTTTTAGTATTATAAACTATAAACGTTAGTATTTATACGTAACTACCTACTACTCATATTGTGTATTCATATAACTTTTAAACTAAGCAATTTATGTATACTAGGCTTTTATTTGTATGTTTGGGTAATACGCACTATAATAATAAAATTGATTTGACTATATTAAGTTATATAGTAATTATTGGTTTAGATATTAGATATAGAATATAGAATAGATATATCATATAGGTATCACTTAATTAATATTCAACAATCAACCAAGTTTGTTACCTATTTATATTATTTAACAACAATTTTCCTAAGCCAAATAGGTATAAAGTATAAACATCCAGGTATTTGCTCAATATTGTTTTCAATAAAAAGTTTTAAATAGCATTTAAAATTTCAATATATTTCAATAGGTAGTATTTATTTCAATAAATACAATGGACTCTCAGAATATAAACTCAACATTATTATTTAATAATAACAACTCGTTTTTTTTTTTTAATTCCTATTGAATTGAGAGTTGGAAAACTGAGGGTTGATTATATATATTCGTTTGTAGTTTTAATTTCTGTAAAACGTTCACAATATTTATCAACATAATATAAAAATAATATTTATACCCCGTATAGTGTATATATTGTATGTTTTAAAAATTAAATCATATAATAGCAAATTTATTATGGAAAATATCAATATGCAAGGAACTTTCCTGTTATCACGACTACTCGCGTATACCTACCTACCCTAAGGACTTTATTTAAAAATACAAATGTAAATAATATATGATTTCGTATTGGTTTATAAAACCAGAAAACTAATAAAAAAATATTTATAACTTATTAAAACATTTTTTTTTTTAATTTTAAATTAATATAAAATATATACTTCATTTGCTATAACCTCCTTTTCAAAAACATTGTAAATTGCCACGTCAATGAAAAATAATAATATTCTTATGAACACTCGTCCAACTTTAATTGTATTATCTGAATGGAGCGATGAATGCTCATTGGTTTCAATGATGAGTCATGTGTGTTTTTTCAATATTAATTTTATTTATCTGTCATCAGTTAATACCTTTTTGGAATAGTAAAAATGTTTCAATGTTCAATTTCAAGTATGGATTCCGGTAGAAAATTCGATCTAGCTGGTATTTTGAAGAGTCAAAAGTTTAATTCCCAATACTTTTCATAATAATTAGAGGGGGGGTGGTGTATAGGTATAAAGAACTGTAGAGAGTAGATATTAGATACCCAAAATGACAGATAAAATTATTTTAGTTAAAAAATGTAATACGTAAATATAAAATCTTCATTTACTTGTCAGTTGTATTATGTTTCAAAATCATATACTCATTATTATTCTCTAACTGTTGTTCCTATTGAATTGTATTTATTTGTCTATTAATAGTCATTACTGCCTAGTAAACATAAGCCTTATTAGTTAATTATATTAAGCTACAAAATTGTATCATTACGCTTGTAGACTTAATATTAATAACTAAAATAATAATAATAATAATAAAAATAATAATATGAACAATTGAAAACTATTTAGCTATTATTGGCCTATAGTATATAGTATATACTAATACATAATGGCAAATAAACCAACTTATTCTAAAATATATAAATAATTATTGTATTTACAATTATAGCTATGATTATTTAAAACAAAACTAAAGTATAGTTTATATATAATGCTTGTATTTGGTTGATTCATTACTTACGTCTAATCTATAGATTTTCAAAAACAATAAACTGGATACATGAAGAATTCAAAAATGAGTTTCTACGCATGACGAATACAAATAGCTGTTTATTTACTATGCATATTGAAATATTGTATATCTATTTCGTTTTATTCGTCATTCGATACCTAATCGCCGAGATGAATCTATTCCACTAAACCTGGCTGATTATTAATTTATAATATTGTTGTCTTACAAAAATATGAATATAAGCAATTTAATGTTAAATAGTTTGTTGTTTCTAAATAATTTATTACAAAAGAATGTAGGTATAATAATATATAGGTAGTGATTGGTACCAATGACGTACAATGTTTTTAAAATAATAATAAATTCGTAAACCAAGTAACAATAATCACCAGGAACAGTTATTTTTACTGACTACAATAATATAAATAATAAATATATAATATTAAAATATGTTATGTAGACATGTAGTAATAGTTATTAAGACAACAATAATCATTAATGTGTTAATAATTTAAATAGTATTATATTTATTTGTATGAATGCCGCATGTATAGGAACTATTGTTGTTATAACTTGTATTATTTTAATAAAATATTGTTATTGTTTTTAATTTGACGTTGTATAATATACATGTATATTTTTTTTTTTATCAAAAATAATATATTTAATAAATTAGTATATATTGATTTTTATAATATTACCATTAACTAATACCATTTTTGTATTTAAAAAATGAGTGAATTATTAAATATATTTAAAATATACTGCCGTCGTACTGTCGTACGTGCATGGTTTTTATACCTTTTGTTTTTATTTTTACTTGACATATTATATTATACATAATATTATATATATATTTATCGAGGTATTTATACACAACGTCTAATGTCAGTCTGGCTATAATATAGTGTCGGGGGCCCAAAATCTATAAAAATATCGTCATTTAAATACCGAGTACTAACAGTATTTTATGCTTGACGTTTGTTTAGCTATTTACTATTCAGTCATAAATTAAATACTAATAGTAATATAGAATTGTTTAGTTGAATATTGCAGACTGCTGTAAAACAATAAAATATAATATTGCAATAATTTGTTATTTATGTGTGCAGATAAATTTCAAATGAAAAATAAAATAAAATGAATTTTCAAATTTTGCTGCATGAACATAATATTTTGGTGGTCGACATTGGTGAAATCGACATTTGAGCAAAATAATATTATATGTCAGTATGCTCTTAAAATTATATATCAGGTGCCGATAGCAGGCATTCATACTTCCATGCGTTTGGAATAATCTGATTTTCGATTATGCGGAGAACTCCTAACTCCAAACTCGCGGCCACACAACGTACGTGTCGACAGGCCGAAACATATTATACATTTATTCGCCGTTCCAAGGAATAATACCCAAAACCCAAAATATTCATCAAATCGACATTTGGAACGAATGAGTGTGAATGAATTAACTCGTTCGTATTTATTCAATTATGCAGAGCAATTGATGTATATAGCACATAAACACTATTAATGTGCATATGTGTTCAGTGTTGGGTTTTTTATTACTTTTTAAAAGTAGGCATTAGTATACCTACACTAATATATACAACCAAAATACTCCTTATTTATTATAGTAGTTGCACTGAAAAGAAGTACTTATAAATTATAATTAATTATTAAATTACTCTTTCATTAAAAATCAATTAATGCAACGTAATTACGTTAGTGTTATTGATAAAAATTTAAAAGTAATGCGTTAAATAGGTAGGTAGTAGGTACCTACTGAATAAATTACTAGGTATACATTTTATTTTATGGAATTGCTTTTTACTGGTATGTGTATTTATGTTACGAGTTCTAAAAAACAAAATAATTTACAAATGTTCGTGACTTTGATGAATTTAGTAAATATATAAACTTAAATTAATATACCTACCTATTTCCAATTGCTTAGTTTTCTTTTTGTATAAACAGTGATTAAAAATATTTTCTCTGTCAAAATCAAAAAACTTGAAAATAGACCTAATAATGTTTCACTGCAGTTGGTTATTCTTATAATTTTATAGCAATCAAAAACTATCAAAAATGCTTGTTGGACACAATTTCTTTTTATATTTTGAGTTAAAATGTTTAAAAAATTGGATATTTCAAAACAATTTTATCTACATTATTATTGCTATTCAGAAATACAACAAATATTAATAAATATCTACTATATTGGTACAAGATATATGTATTAAGTACTAAAGTACGTACCTATATTAGAAACTTACAAATCGCTCATGTCTTCTCTCAGATTCGTTTTTCGTATAAAATGATTTATTATT